TAGAAAATCATTCATCAGAACACAAGATGCCTTCGCCTTGTAAGCAGCATGACAAAATGGCCACAAAACTAAATCAATGCCCATTTGCAAAACATAACAGCTAACATTCACCTTTAACACACCATTTGGACCAACCCAAATCACAAGGTAAACCTACCGGTCTCCCTACAGAGTGTTTCAGAAGATAGATGGCAAAATGAATGTGAAGATAGAATTCCAGCTTCTGAGCATGTGAGTCACTGTCTCGGATGGAACTGGGAATGTGCTCCTCCCACAGATCGAAGAACACCTTCTGATCTCCATTGTCAAACGCAGCGAGGAGATCCTTCTGTGGAGAAGATTTCAGACTGAACCCTAGTGGTTGGTAAGGGATGCTCATTCCCCCCAAACCCAAAATTCTCACCACCCAACCAATGCCACAGTTACCCCACACATTCCTTTTCAGGGGTAAGACATAGAAAACTAGAGATCCCACAGGGCTTCAAGCTCCTTAGGCTGAGGTTCCTGTAGACTGACCCTGGTTTTCCATCTTTTGCAATACTAGAATCAAATCTGGGCACTATAAAGAGCAGATGAAACACTTAAGGTCTTTGAAATAGAAGGAACCAGGCATAGGACAAAGACTTGAGGCCAGAGAACTCACAGACACACAAATACACTGAAGTTACCCTCTGGACTTGCTGACCCACAGCGTATGCAACCAATGAAAGGAGGCCACATGAGAACGCAGCCAGGCCGCACCTGAAGCAACCTCACACGCATGGAAGCTCGCTGACAGCACCGCTCCCAAGTCCCCGAATGGCTGGGAGCTCATACTCACTGACCTGGTCAGTCCTGGGAGGTGGGTGCTGCCACTTGCTCCCTGTTGCTAGAAGCATGTCTGGCTGAAATGGCACTATGGGAAGCCACTACAGACCCCAATACACCATAAGGTGACAGTCTACACCCACCACTTGCAGTAACAAGGACGCATAGGCTGGAGACGGAGGAAGCAGCACAGGCTCATTGCATGTGAGCTATGTGTACTGTCCATGTGGGACACGGACAGTCACGATTTGCAGTAGTCGTGACTGCAAAAGTTGAGTGAGAGAATTCTGGAGAAAGGAAGTGGCAATTATCATGCCACCTGCCTCACAAGAAGAAAGATAACTGACCCATCACAAATACCTGCTGCATAATTTTGTGGATGTAGGTATAAGGCAGAACTGAAAGAACTTCCTCACAGTCCAAAACAATACGACGCCTAGTATATTCCTTTTTGCATCAAATGCCCAAGATGTTCAGACCTACATTTTGTGCTCAATTGCAAAAGCTTTTCTTAGATTAGGTTTTCTGTAGAATCACCAGTTCCTCACCCAGCACCAGTTTTCACCACCATTACTTGGCCATTGTTCTGCTATACTTTTTAAAATGGTTTTATGCATAATTTTCCTGCATAATTGTCATTTTTTATGGTATTTGTTTTATTTGTTTATAATCAAGCTTGTTAACATTACAAAATGGAAAGGTACAGAGAATAAACAATGTTACAGTGTTTGGTTATATTTAAGTCAAAGATATTCATTAATAAGGAGCCTTCAAATATGAATATTACAAAAATTTTCATTATGTCATGTCATCAAGAATAACTCTCTGAGTACTACATTACTCTGGAAGGTATTGGCATACATTTGCATTAAATTGAGAATTTTTCAAAAGTGACCTTGCTATGTCACTATGTGACTATATATATATATATGTCACATCTATCATCCATCCTAACTTATGATTCATATTCTGCACCTAAAAATGGACCCTGCATTAAAAATAATATCTCGGGCCGAGCCCATGGTGCACTCGGGAGAGTGTAGCGCTGGGAGCACAGCAGCGCTCCCGCCGCGGGTTCGGATCCTATATAGGGATGACTGGTGCGCTCACAGCGCTCACTGGCTGAGCGTGGTGCGGCCAGTCTCAAAAAGGACAAAAAAAAAAAAATCTATACAGAAAGCAATCCACTGTCATAACTTACATGGTCACAAAATATTAATGATCTTCTGTAAACCATGATCATAACTAGAATCGCCAAGATAAGAAAATGTGCACACCACCAATAATAACTTATGAACACACATGCTTCTCACAGAACTGGGCTTGGAGAAGCTTGCCGTTTGTTGAGTGCCACTGACACTTAGCATATTTTGCTGAACTGCTAGTCCAGGTATTTTTGTTTGAGAAGTCTATCATAGTGGGATACAGCTGTTGACTGGATGAGCAGAAAAGAGATGCTTGTGACAATCAGAAGTTTCAAGGTCTTTCAAGCCATACAAAAATGGACCCAAATACATCAGAGAAATGCAAATCAAAACCACAAGATATCACTTCAAACCCATAAGGATAGCAACTTTCAAAAAAAAAAAAAAAAAGAACAGAAAATATATGTTGGCAGGGAATGGATCAATTGGACCCCTCATACACCGCTGGTGGGAATGTAAAATGGTGCAGCTGCTTTACAATACAGTTGAGCAATTCCTCAAAAAATTAAAAATAGAACTACCATATAATCCAGCAATCCCACTTCTGGGAATATATCCAAATAAGTTGAAAGCAGGGCCTTGAAGGGATATTTGCACACTTGTGTTCATAGCAACACTATGCACAATAACCAAGAGGTGTAAGTGTCCATCGATGGAAGAATGGATAAACAAAATGTAATACATACAAACAGCGGAATATTATTCAGCCTTAAAAAAAGGAGGATGTAGGGGACACTGACTCAGAGGTTATTAATGAGACAGAAATAAAACACATGCAGTTCAGAGGACTAGAGTCCTCAGCATAGGAGGCCAAAGCCTGCAGTTCAGAGGACCAGAGTCCTCAGCGTAGGAGGCCAAAGCCTGCAGTCCAGAGGACCAGAGTCCTCAGCATAGAAGGCCAAAGCCTGCAGTTCAGAGGACCAGAGTCCTCAGCGTAGGAGGCCAAAGCCTGCAGTTCAGAGGACCAAAGTCCAACACATAAAATGCTAGGAAAACACATAAAAATGCTAAGATTGAAAAAGACCAGAAAACTTTCACAGGACTAAAGCCTTTATGTAGATAATTGAAGCACAGTAAAAAGTGATTGCTCTGGGGGCAGTTGCCCTTGGTGCAGCTAAACCTAAATGATGGGAAAGTATGTGAGCTAAAATCTTCAAGGACATTCTGCTAGTTAGTGCTTGGGGGACGTTCTACATCTTGCCCTGTTTCTTTGAATTTCTTGGGGAGTGAAGTGCTTTGGTGATTATCTCATTGTTTCTTTTTGTACATCCCATAGCTTAGTTTTGTGACTCCTTTTGATGGTAAATTGCTTCAACTCTTTTAAGTTATACCCGCTTTAATGAAGACTGTCACGTAACTAGTTTGTTTATGTTTTCACTATGACTGATTAACCACCTGTTTTTCTTCTGTAACTTTCCTGTCTTTACAATAAAAACTGAAGCAAAAAACTGACTCAGGGTTGTGCCTGGGCTCTCCTCTCTTGAAGGAGCTTTCCCTTGGTGCAGTCTATTCCAGCTTCTCATTGCTCTGAATACATGGGCTCTGAGTCATCTTTTTTTTTTTTTTTTTGACCAGTAAGGGGATCACAACCCTTGGCACAGTGTGGTCTGCACCACACTCAGCCAGCGAGCAAACCGGCCATCCCTATACAGGATCCAAACCCATGGCCTCGGCGCTCCCAGAGCCGCACTCTCCCAAGTGAGCCATGGGGCCGGCCCTGGCTCTGAGTAATCTTTTGTGTCTCCATCACTCTGCAAGAGGTGACAGAGGGGAATCTTGTCACATGCTACAACATGAAGGAACTTTGAGGACATTATGCTGAGTGAAATAAGCCAGTCTCAAAGAGACAAATACAGTACTACATGATTACACTTCTATGAGGTATCTAAGGTAGTCAAACTCATAGAGATGGAAAGCAGGATGGTGGTTGCCAAGAGCTAGGGGGAGAGGGAAATGGGGAGCGTTTAATGGGTACAGAGTTTCAGATTTGCAAGATTAAAAAGTGTTTTTTTTTTTTATAAAGATGACCAGTAAGGGGATCTTAATCCTTGACTTGGTGTTGTCAGCACCACACTCTCCCGAGTGAGTGAACTGGCCATCCCTATATAGGGATCTTAACCTGTGGTCTTGGTGTTATCAGCACTGCACTTTCCCAAGCGAGCCACAGGCCGGCCCTGAAAAAGCTCTAAAGACCTATTTATTTCACAACAATGTAAACATACTTAGCACTATTGAACAGTACTCTTAAAAATGGTTAAAATGGTAAATTTTATGTTTTATTTTTTATTGCAATTTTTTAAAAAAGAGCCAAAGAGACATTTATGTGTTCTCAGATGCATCTGGAGCTGAAATGTGATGGCAAACCAGTTGCAAAAAGTGCACAGCAGCCATTTCTGGAGGTACGAGATGTGCAAAGAAGCTTTAAGACACACAGCTTGTTGGCTTTATCGTACACTGTCACATAATCTGGTCATGTATGGACTTCACAAAAGATTCTTACTGTTCTGCTAGTTAGATATTGCAGATTTGCTATATTCCTCCCAAATTTAGCTTCAAGGAAGAGATGCTCCAGGTTTGGGAGGTGCCAGGTAGGTCTGGCTGCTGTGGTATTCACAGAGGAGTCTGTGTCTGAAACAGTGGCAGCTTGGCATCCAGGTGCCTGAGGCCCACAGGGGACCAGGCAGAGGGCACAGCCCCACCTTGAGCTCCACGGGTCACTTCGACAGCACCTCCAATCAACCGTGCCCATGCCAGGCCCTGGGGAGTCAGGGACTAGGAAACGACCAGCGGTGGATGCAGCCTGAACTCCAGCTCCTCAGGGGGCTCACAAACCAAGTCTAAACAATTTTTGGAAATAGGTATATTGAAATAAATAAATTTATTAAAATAATGAAATCAGGGCTGGCCCAGTGGCGCACTGCTACAGTGCGCCGCTTAGGAGTGCGGCGGCGCTCCCGCTGAGGGTTCGGATCCCACATACAGACCGGCCGCTCACTGGCTGAGCGAGGTGCAGGCGCAACACCGAGGGTTGCGATCCCGTTGCCGGTCCCGGTCCGGTACGGGCGCGACACTGAGGGTTGCGATCCGTTGCCGGTCATGAAAAAAGACAAAAAGGAAAAAAAAATAATGAAATCATCCAAAGGTAAAATATGCAGCCTTGGAAAATGGTATGTTTACTTGTCACTGGAAATATTTAAGGTGAACTGATCGCTTACCTGGAATGTTACAAATGGGACTGAGGCATCAAATAATGGTTGAAATGAGGGTTTTTATGGTCCTTTCTAACCCTGAGAGCTGAAGACTCTATAATCCCTGTGCCCTTTGCAGCCTGCCGATATTCAGAGCTGCTCAAGCCTTCCTTTGATAGGAAACTGCCTTGTCAAGATCTCTCTTGCTCCCTGTCCCCACTACCTCCCCAAACTAGAATGCAAGCGCTGTGAGGGCAGAGATTGTGTTGTTTTGTTTGTTCACTGCTGCATCCCCGGTGCCTAGCGTGAGTAACCTAGAACTCCTCAGGATGGGCATTAACATTTGTCCCAGTTCCTAAGCATGGCATGGTTTCCTCCCTTCCTTCTTCCCAAGAAATGTATGGGAGAGATCTTATGTCACCACTCATTACCTACATAGGGTACAGAGATTTAAAGAAGACATTATAAATTCATCCATAAAAGTAACTCTGAGCAGGTCCCCAGAAATAATTCCAGCATTCTCTAACGGCAGCATTTTTTACAAGTTGGGAGCACCTTATATACAGAGATTAAAAATAAGCAAAATGTTACCTGAATTATCAATGATTTGGAGTCTCTTAAAGATCCACCTGTTGTTTTACATAATGGCTTTCCTTTTATTTTGCATTCCTTTGAAAATGTTTTCAAGGTGTCTTCAAATTCAGCAAAATCTAAGTACTATAAAAGAGAACATAATCAAACAATTCAACAGCAATATAACAATTAACCTAATTAAAAATGGGCAAAAGGGCCGGCCTGGTGGCGCCCTGGAGAGTGTGCCGCTTGGGAGTGCGGCGGCGCTCCCGCCGAGGGTTCGGATCCCATGTGGAGACCGGTTCCCGCTCACTGGCTGAGCGTGGTGCGGGCGTAACACCGAGGGTTGTGATCCCGTTGCCGGTCCCCGGTATGGGCGCGACACCGAGGGTTGCGATCCCGTTACTGGTCAGTAAAAAAAAAAAAAAAAATGGGCAAAAGACCTGAAAAAACATTTCTCCAAAGACGACATACAAAAGGCCAACAGATATATGAGTAGGTGCTCAATATCACTAATCATCATGGAAATGCAAATCAAAATCACAATAAGATATCACTTCACTCCAGTTAGAATGGCTATTACCAAAGAGACAAAAGGTAACAATTGTTGGCAAGGAGGTGGAGAAAAGGGAACACCTGAACACTGTTGGTGCGAATGTAAATTGGTACAGCCATTATGCCAAACACTATAGAGATTCCTCAAAAAATTAAAAATAGAATTATCATATTTACAGCAATCCCTCTTGTGAGTATATATAGAAAGGAAATAAAATCAGTATTCTGAGGAGATATCTGCACTCTCACATTCTTTGCAGCATTATTCACAATAGCTAAGATATGAAATCAACCTAGATGTCTGTTGACAGATGAATGGATAAAGAAAACGTGGTATATAAACACAGTGGAATACCATACAGCCTTTAAAAAGAAGCAAATTCTGTCATTCGTAACAACATGGATAGAACTGGAGGACATTATGTTAAGTGAAATAAGCCAGGCACAGACAGACAAACACTGTGTGATCTCACTTACATGTGGAATCTAAAAAAGTCAAACTCACAGAAGCAGAGGAGAAAGGTGGTTGTCAGAGCTGGGGGTGGAGGAGAGAGGGGGAGGGATGGAGAAAGGGAAGATGTTGATAAAAGGGTACAAAGTTTCAGTTAGAATGGAGGAATAAGTTAACTGTATATTTTAAAACTGCAGAATAGATTTTAATGTTCTCAACACAAAAAACTGTTGTTAGTGAGGTAAAGGATGTTAATTAGCTCGATCGGTAAGTAAGTACATAACTTTTTTCTGTCAATTATACCTCAATAAAGCTAAAAAAAGAACATACATACTTTTCTCTTTTTTAACATCAAGTAACTGGCTTTGATGTAACTGTTCCACTTCAATATTATCACCAATTTATGACAGGGTTAGTGGAGGAGGACTTCAGGATCCAGCTTAGAATTTACTTAGCAATATACACTCTACAAGCCTAGGAAGACAGTACCATTAAAAAAAAAGTTCATTTTCAGAAAATAAAGTTGTTTTCAGAAGGAAAATGTAAGCTGTCTGATTCATTACAATTACTAACAGAAAATAAAATGATGTGTGCAGCAGTCGGAAAAAGATAAAAGTGATCAGAAGGCCTGATGGCTTTGGGTCTAGTAGGCCCCTGGGAATCTATTACTTGAAACAGAAGGAATTAGAAATAATGCCTGTCACTAAGAACAGAAGTCATTAGCAGATGGACAACGTCATCGGTGATCTTCAAGCACAGTACTAAAGGTCACAACCTGCGCTGAAACACACTCTCTGCTGTCCTTCACGTTTCTCTGCCCTCCTTCGCAGTCTGTGTCAGACACACCTTTCTGTTTCCACCTGCTCTGACAGTGGCCATTTCTCCAGGCCCAGCGCACAACCCTCTGCTATGACGGTTTTAAGAATTTATTTATCATCACACTCTGTGTCAGACACACCTTTCTGTTTCCACCTGCTCTGACAGTGGCCATTTCTCCAGGCCCAGGGCACAACCCTCTGCTATGACGGTTTTAAGAATTTATTTATCATCACACTAACAAATGCCAAAGCTGCAACTCCAAGGTGGTGCCTCATCCCTGCTGCAGTGCCATGTCTCTGAAGGTCTAGTGGGCAGTTTAATCACACAGCAAAACAGCAGCAACAGTTTCTTCAGCTACATGCCAGCCCCATGCTAAAAGCACAGAGAATACCAAAATGCATACGGTATGGGTCCTACTCCTCAAAAGCTTTCAGTGTAGGAAACATAAGTGTCTATTAATAGGCAATGCGTTAAATAAATTACTGTGAGCTGCTCAATGACGTACTCTACAGAATTCAAAGATATGAGGCAGGGCTGGTTAGCTCAGTCGGTTTCAGCGCGGTGTTATAACGTCAAGGTCAAGGGCTTGGATCCCTGTACTGGCCAGCCACCAAAACCAGCAAACAAACAAAAGCGTGAGGCAGATCATGGGAAGATGTTCATGCCATATTGTTGTTGACAGATAAAAGGCGAGCTACAGAACGATGTGTGTGGCATCATCTCATTCTGTCACACTAACTACAGACATGAATATATTTTGACTATTCACAGAAAAAAATCTGGGAAGATAATACAACAAACCATTAACAGGAGTCACTGCAGGAGTGCAGCAAGGAAATTCACTTTCTACGCTTCTGTATTGATTGAATCTTTCAACATGAGCATGTATTGCTTTTTAAATTTTTTTCAGGGCTGCCTGTTTAGCTCAGTTGGTTAGAGAGCAGCCATATCACACAAATGTCACAGGTTCAGATCCCTGTACCAGCCAGCCACCAAAAAAAAAAAAGTGTGTGTGTGTGTGTGTGTATATATATATATATATATATATAAATTTTCTTTAAAGGAATTTAAAAAAGTAGCTTTAAGATTTCAGTTTAATTATTAAAAAACACAAAAATTATATAATGGAAAATAGATAAATAACTTCAGTGTAATAACAGAAGAACATTAGAAGGCAGTAAAGAATTTGTTGCATTTTAAGATACAAGTTTCCAAGATCTCTTTTCCTATGACCTATGTTTTGTATAACATACCTACCTCTTTCACTAGTCCAAGTAATTCAGATTCATGAGCCAGAATATCTCCCATACTGAACTGTTACTGGTAATTCTCACAGCAAAAATCTCTACAAGGCAGAAACATAAGATAAAAGCTATCATTCAATCACATGTGAAATCACAAAAGGGTGTCTGTGGGAGGCACAGTGGCCCCCAAAATCCACTTCCTAATCCCCAGTACCTGTGAATATTCCAGGTTACACGGCAAGGGGGAATTTAGGTTGCTAATCAGCTGACCTGCAAACAGGGAGATTAGCCTGGATTACTCAGATGGGCTCAAGGCAATCACAGTGGGAAAGAGGAAGGCAGGAGGGTCAGTGGCAGAGTGATGAGATGTGAGAACTGATTGGCCATTGCAGCTTTGAAGATGGAGGAACCAGCACAAGCCAAAGGGGGGCAGGCAGCCTCCAGGAGCTTGAAAAAGCAAGGAACGGATTCTCCCCCAGCGCATCCAAAAAGGAAGAAGCCCTGCCAACACCTTGATTTTAGCCCAGTTGGACCCATTTTGGACTTCTGACCTCCAGAACTGTAAGATGATAAATTTGTATTGTTTTAAGTCACTAAATTTATGGTAATTCGTCATAACAGCACTAGGAAATACAATGCAAAAGTAAATACAATCAAAAGTAATTCCTTCTACTCTTCCTGCCCCTTCCTGCCCAGGTGTACCCAACGCAGCCACTCCCTGTGGCCCCCCTTCCAGGCTCTTATCCCGGATTAGTTGCCCATAACCCCAGAAAAATTAAAAAATCTGGGCTCTAATACTAACTATGCCATTCACTGGCACCTGATCTGGGGCAAATCACTGAAACTCAGAGCCATTATTCACCTGTAAAATAGAGAATGTATCAGATCTCTTCCAGTTCTAAGAATACGCACATCTGTAACCTTACATTTTTCTGCCAATGCATTTGATTTGAATTATTTGAACGCAAGTCAGGAAGATTACATTTAGCAATTTCCCTATTCATTCTCTTCTTTGTCTCATTGTCATTGTCTTGTGGCTTCACATCTCCCCCAAGGAACTGCAACACAATCTCCCCCTCTCCTCTCTCTCCACTTCAATCCAATTTCTATATTACTGACAAGTGATCTTTCCCCTCCTTCTTGGGACCCCCTCCCCCATGGTTCCACTACTCTCCAGATTAAGGCCAGACTCCTCAGGCCCAACTCTCAAAGCCCTACACAACGTGGCCTCCCACACTCTCACCTCTGTTCTGTAGACTTGAGCCACACTGGCCACCATGCAGTTCCAGTGGACACCCACTAGATACACCTGCCCTCGAGGACTTTGTACTTACTGCTCCCTCGGCCTCACTGCCCTTCCTCCAGATATCACATTTCATGCAGGTCTCTGCTTAAATGTCACCTCCTAGAGAGACGTGCCCTGACCACCCTTTCTAAAAGGTCAGACCTATCGCTTCCTATATGTTTGTGCTGCTTTACTTTTCTCAACAGCACCAACCTCTACCTGATTTAAACATCCTTTCATTAATGCATCTATTTATTCATTGTCTGTTGTTTACCACCCCAGGATGTAGATTCCATGAGGAGGACACATGTTCCCTTGGCATCCCCAGTGCCTAGACCAGTGCGTGGCACACTATAGGTGCTCAAAAACACTTCCTGAAAGAGTAGAAATAATTTCAGATATGAAGAAAAGAACAAAAGGAAAGGAACAGAGCCTGGAGGAGACCCCCAGTGCCTAGACCAGTGCGTGGCACACTATAGGTGCTCAAAAACACTTCCTGAAAGAGTGGAAATAATTTCAGATATGAAGAAGAGAACAAAAGGAAAGGAACAGAGCCTGGAGGAGAGAGGGATGGGGTTAGTTTAGATAGGGTGGTTGGAGAAGGCCTCTGGGAACATGACATTTGAGCAAAGATTGAGCACTTACAGGTTCTGGGAAAGAGGGCTTTGCAAGTGCATAGGCCTCAGGCAGAAGCGCTTTGGAGTGCTGGGGTACAGGGGTGTAGTTTAGAGAAGATGGGGAAGAACAGTTTTAGAGGTCAAATCAAGAGCTGTGTTTTGGCCGTAAGTCTGAGACGCTGATCAGACATTCAAGTGAAGGTGCTGAAATGGTCAGTGGATATATGAGTCTGGAGTTTAAGGGAGCAGGAGCTGGAGACAGAGGGATGGCAGAGAATATGGATAATGAGCAAAGAAACAGACAGATTTAGTGATGAGAAGGAAAACAAGAAACAAGGTCATCAGCTGACAGTAAGACATAAGTCGTCAGTAAAGAGAAGGGAAGGTGGGAACTGAATTGACTGTGGCAACGTGGCAGGGTTTCTAGTATTGAGACTATACTTAAGGTACACAAGACTGGGCTGGCCAATTGGCTCAGCTGGTTACAGCACCGCCTTGTAACCCCAAGGTTAAGGGTTTGGATCCCCATGCTGGTCAGCTGCCGCCCCCCAAAATCATAATATTTATCTTGGGCACAGGTGCTGACAGTCAGTTCTGTGCCCCATGAATATGTATAATCAATAAAAAATATATATATAAAAAAACGAAAAAAAGACAGACAAGGGGACTTCGAAAAGCTCATGGAAAGATTCGTTTTATCTTTTAATTCTATTTTTCCATGAACTTTTTGAAGTATATCCAGGTATAGACTGGGATAGACTTGAATCTAAAATAGAACCAGTCTGTAGTTTTGCAGTTTTCTCCAGACACTTTTAACTGTCTGCGTTGGGTTGACCAGGGTGGGATTCTTCTAGAAGAGAGAGGAAAGAGAAAGCAAGTATAACAGTGATGGAGCATTGAAGCTAAACCAGATTTAAGGATGAGGGGAGGGAGGCATGTAAGGGGGTTCTTCCACAGTGAAAAGGGGATGGAGTCAAAACCCTGCTAAAGGAAACACGCTAAAGTGTGCTTCATAGACAGAAGGTCAGAGAGTGGGATGGATGCTTGAAGTCAAGATTTTGGAAGTGATGCAGTAATAAAACGCTCATGACCACGGGAGTAGGTTGATGAGGAAGATGGAGGAAAAAGGTACCTGGAAGTAAGGAGGATGTAAATAGTGTAGTGGCCAAGATGATGAAACCTCTGAAAGTGAACCAGGAGAGGGGGAGAGGTAGACAGCGAGCCAGGTGCTAACGACTCCAAGGGAAACTTGGAGACTTGCCCCTAGTAGGTGATGGCCTCAAGGAGGGGTGGCAAGTGATCCAGCCTATGCCACGTACTTCAAAGGACCTAGAGGATGTGAAGGGGGGTGGTGATTGGAAGCAGCAATGAGGAGCAGGGAGAACATTACCAACCCACCACCTCCAGGCCTGCCCGATACCTAAGGTGAAAAGCAAAAGACAGCTACTGTTTGAGGACCACCCTTGTCTCCAACCCTTCTCAGGACCAAGCACCACCTCCGTCTCTCTCCTTGCTCTCTCCCACCACCTCCCCAACAGTGAACTGCTGGCCATTCCCCCACACAACGTGTTCTTTCACGATTCTAAGCCCTCTGTCTGATGTGCACCCCCCTCCCATGCAAACATGACTCATCAGCCCAACCTAGTCCAGACTTGACCTCCTTCAGGAAGTCTTCCATGAACCACCCCTCCCTTCCTTCCCCATCAAGACAATTCTTTCTCCTCGGGGTTACCTCTATACCCAATACCTACTGCTACTGTTATACTTATAACCATGTTTACAAAGGCAGAGAGCTGTATCTAAACTTTGTATTCCCAGAACCTAGGAGAGTGTCTGGTACACAGATAGGCACAGAAGACATCTGATGAATAAATGAAGCCCAAGCAGAGGCAATAGCATTTTTGAAGGCTCTGGAACAAGACAACTTTCTTGGTTCTGAGAACTTGACCTCCTTCCAACCTCAAGGCTTTTGCACATATTGCTCTCTCTTCCTGGAACACTTTTCCACCTCTTCCTTCACCTGGCTAACCCCTGTGCTTAGTAACATCACTTCCTTAGAGAAGTCCCCCATGACCAGTTTGAGTAAGACTCTTCTATGATCAGCTGTCAGTGAATGTGAGCCACTGCTGGGTATTCTATTACTCTGACATTCTTAGAAATTATAGAACTTTCTCTAAATCTTTCTATCATAATAGGTATCATTTACTGAGGATTTATTGTATGCCAGGCCATGTGCAAAATGCTTCACATGCAACCTTCACAATAAACCTGAGAGGTGTATATAATTTATAGTCTCCTTTTACAGATGAGGCAACTGAGGTTTAGGGAGGTTGACATGCTCCCAACAGCCACAGCTAGTAAGTGACAAGGTAGGAATTTAAACCCATACTGGTATTAAGCAGTAAACAGTATTACCCCAAATTCTGGACCACCTGAATCAAAACTGCCTGGGATGCTTGTACAAATGAAAACCCCTGCCTCCACCCTGGTCTTCCTGAACACCGTGGCAGGCGCGATGCCCAGAAGTCTGCCTTTTAAACAAGCTCCCCGATGACTTTTAAGCTTACTCAAGTTTGATTACCACTGCTCTACTTAATGCAGAAAGTAAGGAAAACTTCTTCAGTCACGCGTGGGGGCTGCAGTGGCAGCTTCAGAATTTCTACATAAAAGAGATTTAGGGCCTACGAGTTGGTTGGATAAGGGGAAGACTATGGGATTTATAAGGGAAACTAATTTGCATAGCAAACATCTTGTTTTTGCTTAGATTAGTTGAAGCCTAGACTTAACCTGCGTGTCTGGGGAGGGGGGCTTCCTGATAGAAATTATGGGGGGGAGGGATCCAAAAGCCTCCCGCCACTAGTTCGCGCTGCCACGACCCAGCGGGACGACTTGGGAACCCCCTCCAAGACTGGCTCACGGCTGCAAAGATCAGGGACTACTTGCGGAAAGCAGCGGGCCTGTCCTTGGGATGCCCAGGCGGCCGCCTCGGGCCCTTGGCGGAGTGAGTGCCCTGGACTCGCGACACACGGGAGCATGCGGCGGCCGCTGGGAGCTGACGCGTCGGGGTTTCCCTCGCGGCGCGGGGTTGGCGGAGCCTCGGCCCTCCCGTCCCCGCCGCTGCTCCTCCCCGCACTGGGACGG